TAGCAGGGCTTATATTTTTAAATCGAGATCCCAAATTTCAGCTTCAGCCGTTTTCAGCATCAGCTGCGACAATAAATTTATAACTTAAAGACAAATTAAAAACATCAATCCCGGAGCAACGCCCGGGCCTAAGAGCTAGTATTGTAATAATAACTATCGTTATCATTATATCGATATTTAGTTTGAATTAATATCTAAAATATCAATAAGAGGCACCTTATGTGAATATCAACACCAATAATAAATTATACATTTTGTTATTTATTGATTCTCAACATCGAGAATAAATAACGGACAAAAAAATTATAACATGTTCCGGCTTTCAAATTTTTTAAACCACCTAACTTTCCTTTTCCATGACATATGCTGAGTTTGAAGCATCAGAAATTTCTGTGGCTTGTCCGAAACTTTGACTAACATCACTACTTGACTCATCGAAGGTTGTACCGACAGGAACTTTCTTCAGGCCCAGTCCGATCAAGCGACCGTATCCGGGGCTAAGAGGCATAATAAATCGTTTGTTAAAGTTTCTTAGGGTAAGTGTTTGTGATGGATCATTAATAAATACAGCGGTTGGAGCGGATCGTACAATAATAGCGAATAAAGAAAGGAAAATCAAAATTTTAAATAAGATTTGTCTGATAAGAGCGATCATATTTAGACAGATTCAATGAGAAGATTATGTTTTAAGGATAATAATAAGACAAATTCAAAGGTATTTAATTTTTTATAACGTATATGATTATGATCAATCAATCTTTGATCTATATGCATCGAAATATCTTAACGATGCTTAACATTTAAAATTGACAACAGGATCATATGTACTGTACGTGCTATACACCATTGTAACTTGTAACTCAAGTTCTCGAAGTCATTTTCTCGAAAGAACATAATCCCGATAAAATTATCTGGCGTTAGCTTTAATGTTTGCTGAGATTATGTCCTCTTGGAAAATGGCCTTCGTAGTAATCTGGAATCGGGTGCAAATTCAGGCCGCAGTTCAAAGTAAGTCTTTACCAGATAAAATGTACATAAGTAATTATAGTAATTGAACCTGTATCTATTTGAACTCTTTTCAAAATATACATTACCTATGACAGAAAGTTGATCTATTTCTAGCCGGCGGCGTTCTTTTTTGACTAAGTTTTTACATTTTTAATAGAAAAAAATGAATTGATTTGTTATATTTACGTTTTGCATATTAATGTGGATTCGAAGTTAAAAGTTACTGTTGTATTACAGCATTATCAATTTTCGCTAGAGTATAAAATTCTGGGATAAGAATATATAATGTATTTTTAAAATTTTAAAAAATTAGCTATACAAACCAATTTAATGGCTAACCTTTTTCATGCAGAAGTATCCGAAAGGTCTATGTATGACGTGCTACTAGTTTTTTTCTTAAACACAAATATTTCCAATATCAATAAATTGTTAACAGTGGATAATGATTTAACTTCTTTCAAAAATCATGAGAATTTACCTTATATCTTGAGTGCAAAGACGCTAGACTATTCACGCGATCTTAATCATACGAATTGGTTCTAAGTTGAACTTTTTTATGCAATCATCAATCTCTCTATTTCTACTTGATCATACTTGTCATCTCTGAGTTGTTACATCAGGATCACACGTCTGACTCCATGGTTCACTCGTGTCATATTCGTTACAATGTAAATAATTTTTATGCACCGGCTTATTGACGTTAATAAGATAGTAAATATTCTTGAAATGGAACAGCATATTCATATATTAGTTCGATCAATGAATTCTCTATACTCACACCAAATTAATGGAAACAAAATAGTGAATAAAATAGTAAGCATTCACGAACTTGAAGGTTCTCTAAATACTTATACTGATAATGTTCTTTATACTCGCGCAAATAAAATAAAATTAAATGCCAAATATTCATGAATACTACCACTCGGGTTATTTACCTGCGGGTGACCTGTGTTATATCGCCCGGATGATCCGAGTGACCCATCCGCAGGTAACCCTGATTGGAATTCTAGACGGGTCGATAAGTATCGTTACATAAAAATCGCGTAAGTCACCACTAAGAAAGTACCGACTCTGACACTGATATGATTTTGATAGACTAACGAAAGGAACATTTGAAATTGGGTAGAATTTTTTATCCCGCATCCAGTGAACCCTATACAAATTTTTACAAAGAACTACTTAACTGTTAACACGTACTTATCGTTACGTACGTACGTTCGGATATTACCAATCAAATTTTAGTTATTATCCATTACACATTGATATAACTTAAACTATAATATATATATATATATCGATATAGTCCATCGGTCTTTACACATGATTTTATCATCAACCAATTAAAATCGAGAAAATCGTGTAACCAATCAAAATTCAGAATTTGTTTAACAAAGGCGTATTGTTGCACCGATGTTCCTTTGAAGTTTAATTAGTGCTTGATCATACCAACACATGGGGTCTTTGCCTTGAAAATCACCTTCCGACATTTCCGATCGGGTTAATTCGTACAAAAATAAACCTGAATACCGGTTTATTTTCATATGTTAATCATCTTTTACTTTTATTGATTCAATAGTTATTCGATAAACTATTGAGTCAATAAAGTTATAAGACGATTAACATATGAACATGAACCGGTACTCAGGTTTATTTTTGTCCGAATTAACCCGATCGGAAATGTCGGAAGGTGATTTTCAAGGCAAAGACCCCACATGTTACTTATTAAAATAAAAATTTCTAATCACTATGTGTTCTACATAGAAAAAATTTTAATCAATAATAAATTAGACAGTTTCATACTTTATTACGTAGACTGTCGCAAAAATAAGTTTATTTAAACTTAATTATTTAATTTCCAAACATGCATAACAGATAAACAAAACTTTAACTAAATAAATATATAGTAAATAAATTTACCTTGTTAATGAACAAAATGTTATATTTAGCAACTCCTTTAACTAAATAAATAGTAAATAAATTTACCTTGTTAATGAACAAATGTTATATTTAGCAATTCAGCCATACATTATTGATAATTTGTTGTAAATAATATCATTACTTGGAAGACGTGTGATGAGCAAATTATAACTAAATTCACACGTTTTATCATCATTGCGAGCGAATGTTTCATATCTTCTTATATCTAAATTAAGTTACTTTATTGCGATTAGTAACTGATTATGGTAAATCATGGTAAATCATGGTAAATCATGTTAAATCATGTTAAATCATGTTAAATCATGTTAAATCATGTTAAATCATGGTGGAAATTTTAAATATAAATCTGCTATCGATTTGCTGATCGCTTTGTGAATGATGATAATATTTATTGTAATAAAAATAAGTACATGCAAATATATAAATTTCTAACACAAATCGAAATGTATTGCACACAAAATTAATCCTGAAAATTATGTATACATTTTTATCGTTAATTGTGACGTGTACAATAAATTATCAGAATTCGAATCGATCAATTTATCGTTATTAGTGATTTACGATATCGTTATATCGTGTGTTAATTTACTGTGCATTTACTGTGCATGTTGTTCTCGACATCATTACAGCATTAAGAATGATACCTTCAGTACTGAGAGTACTGAGTAATAGTAATTAGGACCAATTTGATCCATTCGGTTCATCAACTAGAACACTGGAACTTATAAATCCAATTTATTGGATTTATGTTCAACAGTGTTTAATGCTCTGCTTAATGCTTTATTTAAATGCTCCGTTTAATGTTTACGGTTTAATTGGTCCGTTAAATTGACTAATTTTAGTAATTTGACGATAAGAATTACTTGGAGAGTGATACATAAATTTCCAAGAATTTTAAAAATATCAAAAAATATTAAGATCGAGTACGTACCAGGTCCCAGGACCAATTAATCATACTGTAAAAAACTATCGTTAAATTTTATTTATTATTAATTGGAGATAAACTTCCGAATCATATTATGAAACAATCACAGGACGAAACTCTAAATTATAAAATCACATTGATCATTGTTTTAATAATTTATTCACTATATTATATATAATTACAGAATTATTAATGTTTTATTGCAACACTATAAGTACAATATATTGAATTATTATATAGAACTTACGGAAATTTTCGAAACACTAAAAAAAAGGAATGCACATAATTGGAATAAAGTTAGAATCCTCGTGTAACAGGAAGTTAAATTAACGTTTTAAATGCGTATCGGAAATGTACTTTCTCATCAAACACTTCGAAAAGACTCTGCTCCACTCGCCATAACCTTACATTCATTTATATTACCTTCAAACCTTACTTTGGTTTGTTTTTTCTCCCCGTGGCCTGTTGTGCTAGTCTTTAAACCTTTATTTCCCCTTATATTAATTCCCTTATTCAGCAACTTACCTCTACCTATTTTCCCGCCAACTGAATTTTACACTCTTTTTATATTTACACCATGAAAGTTACAAGACTTCAACTCGGTGTGTATTCTATTCAAGGCAATCAGCAACCTTTTTGTTTGTATTTATTCCCTCTGGTGGCTTCTTCACCCCATGGTCAAGATATATCTTCAAGAACAACTATATATTCTCCATTTTATCGGCTAAGGGACATCGATGTTATTTTCTTTAATTCGGAAAATGATTATGTATCAAAATCGGGTCAAATCCCTCAAGCTTATATAGAAACTCCTGGTTACTGTTTTCATGAACGTTCTGGTGACATATTTTTATCTACCAGAGCTATAAGTGATACTGCTACTCGGTTAGGAAATCTTCTCTTAGCTGAATTTGCAAAATTAGGAAAATCTGATATAATATCGGGTGTAGCTGATCGTTATTTAAGAGAAGTTTCAATAAATTTAATGACTCGTGAACCTCTTATAGAGTCTGAGTTTGAATTTTTCATCGCAGATCCTTCTTCAAAATCTGCAATTTCATATTCCCCTTCTCAAATTCCCCAAATCCAATCAAGCCCAAAAAGTGTTACAAATTCTCCTAACTCTTCTCAAATTTCCGGAAGAAAACGTATGTCCCTCGAAGAAGTTCTAGATAATGATAACAATAGAGAAAATGATCGAATATACGATCAAAAAATTTCTTTACAATCTGAACACACAACTTCACCTTTGGAATCTGAAAGGTTTTTGCTTTTTTCTTTCATACTGTATTAAATCATGTTTCTTTATATTTCTTTTTCTCCTAATATTTATTTTATCTTATTTCAGAGGTTCCTCAACGATAAAAAAAGAACAATCTCCTGTTTATTCTGGGGGTGATCGTTCTCAAAATTCATCCCCAAATCATTCGCCAAGATCTATTCATTCAGTTCATTCACCAGGTTCTCCTCACTCCCCATCTGCACAGAATTCCTCAGGTGATATAATCACAGACTATGACACTAGAATGAGAAAGAAAAGGCGCTTTGCTATCGGTTCTAATAATAATATCGCTCCTAATAATCCGGAAGTCATGGAACAAGTAAGAAATTCACTAAAGTTAAAACAGCAACAAAAGGCTATAATAGAAGCTAGACAATATCAAGCTCATCAACAAATGTTACAGCAACAAAATTATTTTAATGATAAGCAACATCCCGTTACTAGTAATCCTTTGCCATCAAAATCAACTTCCAATTCTTCAAAAGTAGTTTCTCAAAATGCTTTAGATTTGAATAGATCAATTTCTTCAATGTCAAAGCGACATTCAGGAAACAAGAGCAATCGTAATTCTAGGAATCTTAGCGTATTCGCTTCACCTTATACAGGTTACAATCATGGTCAAAGATCTGCTGGTATGCCTGCATCTGCCCCTACAATAAAATCTGCTCCAAGTAGACAAAGTGTTTTCGGTTATCCATTATCTACAAATTCTGCTTTTCGACCTACACATTCTGCGTCCTTCAATGCTAATATTAATGGTCTTATATCTCCTCATAATATTCATAATATTGAAGATGCTAGCCCTATGATTAGCCCGGCTGCCAGTATCCGATCTAATCCTTCTAATCTCAATAGTCCTACATCTGTTTCTAATGAAGAAAGGCCTTCAAAAGAATCTTTTATTAATCTATTTGATAATTTCTACGATACGGTTTCTGATACACGTTCTCTTAAGACCACTAACGGTACTAATATCACTAAGTCTTCTATCTGTATCATGAGGTGGACTAAGGCTCATTCCCGTATTAGCAGCA